AAAAAAAAATTTTTTACATTTTGTACTGCGCCTTGCAGCACAACCATGGGCATTATCACGTGACCAAGATCCAGGGTATCAGCACCTGGTTCATCTTGAGATACCTACATCTTTATTTTGATGACAATAAATTCTTATCATTTATTGCTGCCCTTTTTACATCGATGAATCTATTTATAAGCAAATGGGGTAAATGTCTATTTTTTTAATTTTAATTAATTATTTATTTTGTTTTTAAGACAGCCTAAAATAAAATTGAATCAACTATTTCACCTTTTAATACTAGTATTTAGACGTGCTTTCCTTTCATGGACACTTTGAAAATTGTAAAAGAAATTTGTTTATGCTAAATTTTGTTTGCGGCCGATTTTATTCTTTGCATCAATTTAACTTGTAATATCTTGACTTTGATTAGTGATTATTCTGATTGAGAATGGTCATTCAAAGATACAAATTGTTCATAGCTATCAATATTGTAAACCATATTAAATATTTGATCCATGTACATGTATATGAAATGTAAAAAAAACTACTTTATAGCAAAATCCCTGAGCACCTCTCTAAACTTAATACTGTAGACTATTTATTTCCACGAGGTATAATTCCACGGAATCACAACATTAGTTTGATCCGTGGGTAAAAAATTATGTGGAAATCTTTGAATGCCAAAAATACATATTGTACCTACACTGAATATATGAAAAAAAATATTAGTTTATCCCTAAAATTTGTCTGCCTTATGAATATACAATTTTTTCAACGAACAACAACATTCAAATGACTCGGAACAACATACACATACGTTCCCTCCAGCTCACAAAATTACGAATGATCATGAAATAATTCTTGAGGTTTACATACATCAATTTCAAATAAAGTTTTTTTAAAAAGGGGAATGAATTCCATAAACACATACTGTATACGTACATCTACGATTATCAACACTGGAATCAAGTCATGTGGATTAACACACACCTGTCCGTACAAACAGAAGCTTGGGAATATCTGTGAATCTTTCACAAGTATAAAAAGAAAGTAATTTTTCTTTTTTATTTTTACAAGGACTGAACATGTGCTATCACTTGCAAATTTAATTTTTCAGAGGTTAATGCCCTGTTCACACGGAGAGTTTAATTCGAATTAAACGTAAGTTTACTGCGAAATTTGCTTCGCCTAGTGTTCACACGCGAATTTAATGCGAATTAGTTTGATTCGAATTAATTTACTGCGCATTAATTTACTTCGCATTAACTCCGTGTGAACGCTATGCGAAGCTAATTCCAATTAAATTTTGGGGCATGCGTAAATGGCCAATTAAATCAAATGCATACTATATACTAACTTGTATATAGGTCCCTGCTTTTTCATATTCTCATTCTTTTAGTGCAATTTCATTCCTAAATATACTTAAAATAGCTGCAGCCACCTAGCATCATTTTTGAAAGTGGGGGGAGGGGGGGGGGGGGAAAACCAAGAAATTTTTTTACTTACCTGAAAAAGTTACAAAAAAAAAAAAGGAAACTGCCCAGCCTTTCAATGAATTAATGAATCTTCCCTATAGTATGAATAATGTTGGGAAAACAAGTGGGGGGGGCAGGCCCCCCCTGGCCCCCCTGTTGCTAGTGCCTGCGCTGTGATAATTTTCTGCAGAAAAATTGTGTCCGCCTTCATAGCATAAATTAATCCCATGCAGAAAAATACGTTACAGAATCAAGTAAAATAAGGCAGAATATTTTGACAGATCTAAGTAATAAGCATTAAATTCCAAGGAACATAGATTGTTATATTGTACAACGTAATCTGGATTGGATATATATCAGTCCATCTCTGCTTCAGAAAAGGGACAGCAATACCATCAGTAAGTGCAAGCCGCTCATCCCGAGTATCCAGCGTTTGATGTCCAATCATGAAGACGAGAGGATCACCGAGAACTGCGGGACACTGATTTGATTGGTCAACAAGCGTCACAAGTGCTGGACTCGGACAACATTGGGAATCTTATTTACCACTACATTGAAAATCCTGACGTACACATCATTGGTAAATTGGTAGCATGATATTGATATTATACCTACCCCTGACATACACATCATGGATAAATTGATAACATGATATTGATATCATGATACCTACCCCTGACATACACATCATAGGTAAATTATAACACAATATTGATATCATTATACCTACCCCTGACATACACATCATTGGTAAAATGATATTGATATCATGATACCTACCCCTGACATACACATCATAGGTAAATTGATTACACAATATTGATATCATTATATATCATTATACTACCCCTGACATACACATCATAGGTAAATTGATAACAATACTGATATCATTGATATCATTATATATCCTACACTGACATACACATCATAGGTAAATTGATAACACAATATTGATATCATGATACCTACCCCTGAATTACACATCATAGGTAAATTGGTAGCATGATATTGATATTATACCTACCCCTGACATACACATCATAGGTAAATTGATAACGCAATACTGATATCATGAACCTACCCCTGACATACACATCATAGGTGAATTGGTAGCTTGATATTGATATCATTATACCTACCCCTGACATACACATCATAGGTAAAGTGAAAACATGATATTGATATCATTATACCTACCCCTGACATACACATCATAGGTGAATTGGTAGCTCGATATTGATATCATTATACCTACCCCTGACATACACATCATGGATAAATTGATTTAAACAATAAAATGTTTCTTTGTTTGTTATTACTGGAATTAACGCAAGAGCTGGCAGAAAAAATACATAACTCGCGTAAGTGGGTTATGTAAATTTTTTCTGCAATAGCTGCGACCGTTAATTCCAGTAATAATAAACAAAGAAAGACATTTTATTGTTTATATTTATATTTGTTTAAATAATCATTTAAAGAAGGATTAAAAAGTTTAATTATTGTATTAATGATGCGAACGTCTTTATACGTTTCATTGATGGAACAGCCACTGATCAAGAAATCTGTACAGGCGACATGCCTGATGTAGTTCATGCAGTGATTAAAGCAATGGGTTTTCTTAAGAACAAAGGAGAAAATATTCAGTGGATGAAACAAGTTTGGCTTTCCAGAAAGCCTGAAATGTCATCTCTTTGGTATCAATAATGTCATAATGTCATAATGTCAATAAGAAAAAAAACAGAAAGGGAAATATTTTAATGCAATGAATATATAGATTATTACACCTGAAGTACCCAAATGACTTATTCAGCAAACTCCACAGTAAAGTACGCAGTTTTTTTTAGCCCATAAATATGGAAAGCATGGAGTCTCAAAAAGGCATTTTTGGTGAAATTTCATTCTAGCGGTCTTTGTGCTTCTGGGTGTTTAAAATTTATTAAATTAAATACTTTCCTTGAACTATATTTTTTTAAACACAATACGGAATTATCAACAATAATTATCCTTCATTTAAAAGCAGCTAATCATTAAAGTTTGACAGGAATTAATTTAATAAACCCAATTTAAAGACTAAAAAAATAACATAAAATTAGCGTTACCTTTCCCATACTTTTTTTTTGCAAAATCAATTGTAAGCTTGTTCTTTTGCATTGTTTTGTGCGAGAACCAGTTTTTCCCTTCGCGTCAACAAATTATATATAGAAATCACGTCATTGTCAGTTCTCCTTGGTGGCTTACCAATTTAATAAGGCATAGTATTGAAATCAATACATACATGTATACGACACACCAAAACTATAGCTATTTATGAGCATCGTACTTCTTTTCAAATTTTTTCCCGGTTTTCAAATAGGTAACCAAAGTAATAGCACACTCCTAAGCTATTCTTCTAAAAAAAACCATTTACAACTTTTTAACTTGTAAAACATCGAGGATCCCAAAAGATTAATGGAGGCTTTCACTAGGACTTCACTTCCGGCAAAAATTTTAAATGTCATCTCCCGAGGGAGATGACAAATATAACACAATATTGATATCATTATACCTACCCCTGACATACACATCATAGGTAAATTGATAACACAATATTAATTATCATTATACATACCCCTGAAATACACATCATAGGTAAATTGGTAGCTTGATATTATATCATTTTAAGCTCTTCACCCAAAAGGCTAAAGAGCTAATGCTATGGCCATTTGTGCGGTGTGCGGTGTGCGTTAATTTTTAAAATATGGGCCATAATCAAGAACCCCTTGGCCAATCATATAATTTTGTCAAGGGTATCCTTGGCCTAAGGGCTACCTTTTATACTAAAATAAGGGTTGGGACCCTTAAACAAGGGGGATAATCAAAAACAAAACCAAAAGTATGGTTGCTAAAAAAATTCTTTTCAGAACCACCAGGAATTTTTACCAAACTTACATACAAGGATCAGGATATGTCGAAGATTAAAAATTGTTCAAAGGGATCACCCGGGCAAAAAGGGGTGGTCTCAAGGTCACTTCAAAGTTGACCTAAATTTACAAATAATAAAAAGTTTATATTTTGCTTAGTTTTAGGTCTAGGATCATCAAATCTTGTAAGTTGATACATCTTAGGACTTCACATCATGTTAAATAAAAAAGGTCACGGTGACCTACTTTTTAAATTTTGTATTTTTAAAAAAATTATTTGAAGGCATATTTTGGAATTTAAGGCCTATGATCATCAAACTTTGTCAGTTGATGCATCTTGGGTCCTTAAAAAAAACAACTTAAAAGTAGGTCATCATGACCTACTTTTTGAACTTATGACTAATTTTTTTTATAACATTTAATCCAATTATTTCAGACACTGAGAGGTTTAGAATCATCAAATCTTGTAAATTGATGATCTTTGGACCTTAAAAAGTATTTTTGAAGAGGTCACTGTGACCTACTTTTTGAATTTTGAACATTTGTTTTTGTATTGTTTAAAAAAGGGATATTTTATTACCTTCAACCTAGGATCATCAAACTTGGTCAGCAGATGCATCTTGTATTTTAAAAGTTGACCAAAATGTAGGTCACATGACCTACTTTCAACATTTTATGGCTATATTTTAGATCTTAGGTATTTATTGGCTTAGAATCATCAAACTTTGTGAGTTGATGCATCTTGGGTTTGGAGAGAACAACCAAAAAATAGGTCACTGTGACCTACTTTTAATTTTATGGCTTTATTTAAGTATCTTAGGTATTTATTGGCTTAGAATCATCAAACTTTGTGAGTTGATGCGTCTTAGGTTTTTAAAATACACCAAAAAAAGGCCTTGCCCATTGCGACATTTCATGGCTTTATTTAAGTATCTACAGTACTTATTGGCTTAGAATCATCAAACTTCATCAGTTAATGCATCTTGGGTTTTAAAAATATGTCCAAAAAAGGTCACGGTGACCTAATTTTTTACATTTAATGGCTTTATTTAAATATCTATGGTACTAACTGGTTTAGAAAATAAAATTTGTTTGTTGATGCATCTTGGGGCTTTAAGAATGTCACCGAAAAAAGGTCATGGTGACCTACTTTTAATATTTAGGTACTTTTTGGCTTATAATCATCAAACTTTGTTGTTATGACTTGGGTTCAAAAAGTTACAAAAAATTAGGTCGGAGTGACCTACTTTTGACATTATATGGCTATATATAATATCTTATACTTAGAATAATCAGACTTTGTCAGAGACATTTTGGGTTTTCCAAAGGGTGTAACAAAAAAATAGGTCATGGTGACCACTTTTTACATTTTTTGGGGATATTTAAGTAATCAGGTACATATCGGCTTAAATCATCAAAATTTGTCAGTTATGCATCTTGAGTTTTCAGGGGTCGCAAACCAAAAATTACATCACTTTGACCTACTTTTGACATTTTATGGCTATTTTTTATTTAAAATGTTACCTAGAGAATTGTTAAACTTTGTCAGTTGGGGGGTTTTTGGGTTTTTGGAGAATGTGGCCAAAAAATAGGTCATGGTGACCTACTTTTGAAAATCAGGATTATTGGCTTAGAATCATCAAACTTTGTCAGTTATGTACTTGGGTTTTCAAAGAATGTAACAAAAAAGTAGGTCACGGTGACCTACTTTTAAATGTCTCAAATACTTATTGGCTTAGAATCTTCAATCTTTGTCTATTAATGCATCTTGAGTCCTCAGAAAACTTCAATCTTAAAGTAGGTCACTGTGATGTACTTATGGTTATAGCTTTATTATTAAAAATATCTTCAGTCCTAATTGGCTAAGAATCATCAAACTTTGTCAGTTGATGCAACTGGGTCTTAGGATACTTAGGGCTAGAGGCTTCAAATAGAAGTGATAGATTGTACAATTTATCAGAAGAGCGATTCAAGGCCCTTGGACCTCTTGTTTATGATACTTTAAACAATGTAATTTTTTGTGATGCTGTTCTTACTTACAAGGTATGATCAAAAGAGAATTGGTGTGGGTTCCAGGATGAAAAAATACAAGATATTTATTTAATGTGTAACTATCTTTATCACCATTTTGGTAATGCTATTTCAAGAACCACAGGGCCAGAAAACATGAATATGTAGTAAATCAGAATTAGTAAAGTGGATTGAAAAAGGTATTGAATACCCACCCAATCAAATCATTTTATGTGTAGCCATTCAGAGTTGATATTCTAGCCAACCAAATGATTAGAATTTATAACCAATCAGTAGTAATTAGGCATAGGAGAAATAGTTGTAAATACAGGGATCAAGCTAGCTTTTGTGTAATTTTGATGTAACTCTTTGTTAGAGTTAGGTGACTTGGGAAGGGTACCTGGACTGTGTCGGGAAACAACAGAATTGTAAGTTAGACCACTCAGCCCAGGGACCCAGTTCCCTAGTGTCTTTGTGACTAGCTATGGTCTCTCTGTGACTTTAGTTTGTGTCTTACCAAAAGTAATAGTGTCCTGTTAATAGCTATGGTGTCTTGGTGACTTTAGCTTGTGTTTGTGTGTCTTAAGATGTATGTGTGACTCTTTGTGATTATTTTTTTTGTGATCTTTGTGCTTTGTACTTTGTGATCAATTGATTGGCTTGCATGATAATTTGCATAACGCCTGAAGGCGTTTATGCATAAAATTATCATGGAAACCAAGTACTGTAATTGAGATAATTTGATGGTTCATAATACACTGTAGGTGGTACCTTGAAATTCTTCCATGTACAAAACTTGTTCTAGTCCAGTTTCCAATAAGATTGTTGAATTTATATTTATTTAAAAGACATTTTTCTCATTCTTTTAACTATTGCAGTGAATTTAGAAGCAGCCTATGAAAATGGACCTGAGGAATTTGGAAGCGGTTCACTGACCTAGTGGAAGTGTTTGCCAAGGACAAGGAAACAAACTGCTTTGTCATGCAGTGTTTCCTGCTGAAGAAAATTGCTGAAACTCAACCAGAGGTAGAAAAAAATCATCTGAAAAACTCAAATATTCAAAAGTTTACAGAGCTGGTTATTATACATGTATAGTTACAAAGTAAAAAATTTTCATTAAAACAAGCAAATTCAAAGAATTGTGGTCCCCCGCTTTTGGTGTCTTTGTGGGTGAGATGTCATTTTTGTTATCGCATACTGTGAAAAATATAACACCCTGAAGCAATGAATCATTATTTTTTGAAAGATATATTCTCATAACTGCAACGGTGTGTGCAAAAAAATTGAGTGACGCGGTTAAGAAAATTTGTTTCCACACACAGTTGCAGTTATGAGACTATATCTTTCAAAAAATAATGATTCATTGCCTATATTTACATTTTTTGACTTTCTACCTTAATTGCAAATGTGATTTCCATTTAAAAACATATGTATTATCCTTTGTGTAAGCTAAATTAATGGATAGCAACGTAACAGCTTCTGGTCAATTTGAGCGTGATTTTTAGCTCTACTGGTCAGAGACCAAATAGTTATTGATAGTAATGCATCCAACATCCGTCCGTCTGTCTGTCTGTCTGTAAACATTTTTACAAAATGCTACTTCTCCTACAGTTTTACTTTGATTTCAATATATTTTGGCACACAAGTAGACTACACTAAGATACATAATTCTGTGTATCAGTTTTTTATTTCGATGAACAGTGTTCCCATGGTGACTAATAAAAGAAATTTCTGTGAAAATCATTCAAAATGCTACTTCTTCTACAGTTTAAGTCTGATTTCAATATAACTTGGCACACAAGTAGATTACACTAAGATACATGATTCTGTATATCTGTTTTTGATTTCAATGAACAGTATTGCCATTGTTACTAAAAATAGAATTTCTGTGAAAACCATTCAAAATGCTACTCCTCCTACAGTTTTGCTCTGAATTCAATATAACTGGCACACCAGTAGACTACACTAAGATACATAATTCTATATCTGCTTTTTGATTTCAATGAACGGTTTTGCCGTTGTCACTAAAAATAGAATGTTTTTAGAAATACATTGAAAATGCTGTCTCCTACAGTTTTGGTCTGAATTCAATAACTTGGCCCATAAGTAGACTACACTAAGATACATAATTCTATTTATTGGTTTTTGATTTCGATGAACGGTGTTGCCGTGGTTACTTAAAATAGAAATTTCTGTGAAAATTTTTCAAAATGCTACTCCTCCTACAGTTTTGGTCTGATTTCAATATGACTTAATTGGACACAAGTAGACTAAACTAAGATACATAATTCTATTTATCGGTTTTTGATTTCGATGAATGGTGTTGCCCTTGTTACTAAAAATAGAATTTTTTAAAAAAAACATTCAAAAAGCAACTCCTCCTACAGTTTTGATCTGATTTCAGTATAACTTAGCACACAAGTTGACTACACTAAGATACATAATTCTGTTTATCAGTTTTTGATTTCAATGAAGGTGTTGCCGTTGTTACTAAAATAAAAATGTTTTTGAAATACATTCAAAATGCTACTCCTGCAGTTTTGGTCTGAATTCAATATAACTTGGCCCATAAGTAGACTACACTAAGATACATAATTCTCTGTATCGGTTTTTGATTTCGATCAATGGTGTTGCCCTTGTTACTAAAAATAGAATTTTTAAAAAATACATTCAAAATGCTACTCCTCCTACAGTTTTGGTCTGAATTCAATATAACTTGGTTCACAAGTAGACTACACTAAGATATATAATTCTGTGTATCGGTTTCTGATTTTTGATTAATGGTGTTGCCTTGGTTACTAAAAATAGTAATTGTGAAATACTTTTAAAATGCTACTCCGAATACAGTTTGAGTCTGATTATAATATAATTTGGCATGCAAGCAGACTACACTAAGATACATAATTAACAGTTTTGTGTTTTTGATTTTGACGATTTATGTTTCCATAGTAATTTTAATTGAAAATTCAGTAAAATTTTATTAAAAGTTACTCCTACAGCTGTAGTCTTATTGCAATCTTGCCTCAAAAATAGACTTAATCAAGGATCATTATTCTATTTATTGCTTTTGTAAAGTTTTAATCCCAACTGCTACTTTTCTTTTCTTTATTATACCGGTAAGTACAAACCAGAGAACAGTCTCACAGAACTTTGGTTTATTTTTGCTTGTGACGTTGCACTTCCTCGGCGTTCAACGATTATTATGACGTCAAAGTAAAATTATTAATTAAAAGTAGGTCAAACATCAAAGTCAAGGTCACAGGATAAAAAGTCATAGTGTATTTAGAAAGGTTTTGTCACAGGCAATACACAATTTTAAAATGGAAGCCTTATCTCTTCTCTTTCAAAAGTTATGACCGAGATTAAAGTTTTTGAAAAGTAGATAAAACTTCAAGGTCCGGTTAACGGTGTAAAAAAATCATAGTCACTGTGTATGTAAAAAAAGGTCTTGTCACAGTTAATAAACTTGTTTAATATGAAAGCCCTATCTCTTCTTAATCAAAAGTTATGGCCAATTTTAAGAAATGCTTGATTTTTTAAAAAGTAGGTCACAGGGTAAAAAATTATAGTGAATTTATAAAGGTCTTGTCCAGGTTTACATAATTTAAAATAAACCCCATCTCTTCTGACCATTTAGAAGTTATGACCAAGGTTTAAGTTTTAGAAAAGTAGGTCAAACTTCAAGGTCACAAGGTCAAAAATCATATTTTATTTTATTTAGAAAGGTCTTTTCACAGGAAAAGATTAAAAACTGAAATAAAATTTGTTTTCTCCAAAATGTATAGGATTTCCCATGATTTACGAGTTGATATTATTTGTTACCAATGAATTGTATTATTAGTTATCCAGGTTAATAAATGACGGGGGTTTCCCCGGGTTTATCCATACACCCTGAGGCCGCAGGCCGAAGGGTGTATGGAAAAAAACCCGGGGAATCCCCCCAACCCTTATTGGACCTGGATAACGAATTTATTTCCTTTGTACCAATAAAAAAACTTTGAAACATCAGAGTGTGTCTCAATCTATCGATTAGATAACTACGTACTGAGAATGTATGCATTGTGCTACGTTTTATTTACACCCGGCTCAAATCGGGTGCACGGAATTTACACCAGATTTGTAACCAATCAAAGCTCGTGTTACAAGCTAGGTAGGAAAAAAGTTTTATTATCCTTGAGCTTTGGGAAAGGTGATAAGAAACACTCATAGATTTGGATGTATGTAAATATATATTGTGAATTAGTGTGTTTATTAATGTACACAGTTCCTCAGAATGTCTTCATCTTCATGACTTAAAAGAAAATGCAAATCCACATATTACCCCATAAATATTAATTCAGTTACAGTTTTGTAGATTATTACAACACCGTCATTAATTTTTAGCTCTACTGGTCAGAGACCAGAAGAGCTTATGCGATAGTTATGCGTCCGGCGTCCGTCCGTCCGTCTGCCTGTCTGTGTGTCTGTAAACAATTTTTCAAAATGCTACTCCTCCTACAGTTTTGGTCTGATTTCAAAATAACTTAGCACACAAGTAGACTACACTTAGATACATAATTATGTATATCGATTTTTGATTTCCATGAACGGTGTTGCCGTGGTTACTAAAAATAGAAATTTCTGTGAAATACTTTCAAAATGCTACTCCTCCTACAGTTTTGGTCTGATTTCAATATAACTTAGCACACAAGTGGACTAAACTTAGATACATAATTCTGCGTATTGATTTTTGATTCAATAAATGGTGTTGCAGTGGTTATTAAAAATAGAAATTTCTGTGCAATACTTTCAAAATGCTACTCTTCCTACAGTTTTTGTCTGATTTCAATATAACTTGGCACACAAGTAGAATACACTAAGATACATAATTCTTTTTATCGGTTTCTAATATCGATGAACGGTGTTGCCGTGGTTACTAAAAATAGAAATTTTTGTAAAATACTTTTAAAATGCTACTCCACCTACAGTTTAGGTCTGATTTCAATATAACTTCACACAAAAGTAGACTATGCTAAGATACATAATTCTATATATCGGTTTTTAATTTAGATGAATGGTGCCATGGTTACTAAAAATAGAAAGTTCTGTGAAATACTTTCAAAATGCTACTCCTCCTACAGTTTGAGTCTGATTATAATATAATTTGGCATGCAAGTAGACTACACTGAGATACATAGTTATCAGTTTTGTGTTTTGGATTTCGATGATCGATGTTGCCATGGTAACTAAAATTGAAAATTCTGTAAAATTTTATTTACAAAGGCTACTCCCACAGTTGTAGTCTTACTGCAATCTTGCCACAAAAAGAGACTTAATCAAGGATCATTATTCTATGTATTGCTTTTGTAAAGTTTATGTCCCAACTGCTGCTTTTCTCTTCCTTTATTATAAGTACAAACCAGTAGAGCTACAGTCTCAGAGAGACTTCTGGTTGTTGTCTTACAACCCCATTGAATTAATTCAGTTACAGTTTTGTAGATTGTGACAACACCTTCATTTGTTGTCTGTTTCTTTAGGTGTTCACTCCTCGTAGTATGAAGCTGTTCTTTGATGTCCACTTCATGGATTTCACGGCTAACAGTCAGGTGCTGATCTTCATGGATATACTGTCCAAGTCACAGCCTGCCCTCTTTGGACCCTTCATCCCTCACCCCCTGCTGAACTCCAAACTGATGCAGGATACCATGGCTAGTTACCAAATGAACATTGTCACCAGGGCTGCTGCTGTTTGTAAGGTGACTATCAGATATTATTTCCTGTATTGTTAAGGCATCGGTACTGGTATAACGGGACAGGTTAAAACTCAGACTTTTGAAAAAAAAATTTATGTTCAGAAGATTTTTCCACAGATGAACATTATCTCCCAATATGATGTAAAAAAAAATTAATGTTGTAGTCATTGACTTATATTTGAAGTATTTTTCTTTATAAGGACTGCCAGAAACCAGTTTTTGACTACTTCACTGAGAGACTGAAGAGTTGCACTGACCAGCATGTGCTGTACGCCTGTATAATGGGTCTGAGAGAGATGCTGGAGATTTGTGGTCCAGACTTTTTCACAGAGGAGGTCCAGGCTGTGATAGAGAATCAGAAGACAAGCGCTCCGGCTAAATACATCAAAGATGTGGCTCAGAATCTCCAAGATGAACTCGCAGGAAGAAGGTTAGGCTAGGTCCAGTAAAAATATCATGTGGAGTAATCAGTTCCCTAAATCAGGATAAATTGC